ACCAAGAGGCCAGGAAAGCAGAGGGGAGACGAAAAGGCCAGGTAATCAAAATGTCTGGATTATATAGTGAAGGGCAGCCTGGCCCCTGGGCTGTAGAAGTTTAAGGTAGGGGGTGGTGTATGCCAGCCATACCCTGTAACAGGTAGGGACTGGGAGATGCTGGGAGAAATAACCTGGTGGCCAGGTTCATTTTGATATGTTAAATAGGCATTTGTTCCAGGTTTGAGACTTAACAACCTTCTGTAACAAATGTGGTGTACATACATACATATCCATCCATCCATACATACATACATACATACAAACAAACAAATAAATAAATAAAGTTTAAAAAGAAATGGTTTTGGTTTTTTTATATTAAAGTTGCTGCCAATTGACTAGCTTTCCCAATGGAATTCTGGGGTATAACTTTCTTTTAAAAAGTGTTTTTCAGTCGTGCTGTTTTGTCCAACAACAAAAGCACTGGTGCACACTGGGTTGGGCTGTGTGGTTTTGCACAGAATGAGTTTTCAACTACAGTCTGCCCAAAGTCTCTACAAATAAAGTGTTCAACTCAGGAAGAACAAAAAATGGTAATCTGCCCACCTCTCCTTCTCCCTCTCCCTCTCCCTCTCCCTCTCCCTCTCTCTCTCTGTCTTTGAGACAGGGTTTCTCTGTGTAGCCCTGGCTGTCCTCGAACTCACAGAGATCCGCCTGCCTCTGCCTCCCACGTGCTGGATTAAAGGTGTGCGCCACCACCGGCCATTTTGCCACTTTTCACTGCAATCTTCAACCAGGGCACACAGGTCTTTTGCTTTCATAAACCACAGAAGGCACACTGGAATTAAAAAATGATACTAGCTTCGGGACCATTTTTTCTTTATCATGAAAAGTAATTAATTGTCAGGAAGACAGAAAGCAGGTTTGGGCCCTTCCACACCCCAGCCACCAACACATCAGGAAGGGGCCGAAGGAAAGCATTGTGGGGGGGTGAGGCAGGGGAGTGGAAGCATTCTTAACTATCAGGAATGTACACCTGCCTGCTAAACAACGTCAGATGCCTATTGTCTGCAATGGGTTGTTTTTACATAAATTAATTAATCTGTCATTGTATTGACAAGCACTCCATTTATTCACCAAGCCACACAGGTAAATGTCAGTTCAGCTGGCTATGCTTGGAAGATAATAGAACACTACACCATACAACTGGAGTGCACATATGGTTACTTTTCATCACACTGAGACATGGCACTGGCATCTAGTTCACGTTTGAGAATTTCACAACTGAGTTATCAAAAAAATAAGTAAATAAACTTCTTTATAGTGTTTTAAATAAGTTTAGAATTTGTGTTAGGCCATATTCATAGCTGTTCTAGGCACATGTGGCCTGTGAGCTGCAGTGTGTCGTGGACCAAATGCATTAAATGCATTTTTAACTCATGATTATTTCCATTTACAAGGAGTTTATTAAACTCCATTTTAAATTGAGCAGCACCTGTACTTTTTAAATATTGTTTGTTGTTGCTGTAATGTATCAAGATCATTGGCCAGAGCTGGGCATGAGGGACAGTGTGACCAGGAGTTCAAGGCCAAGCTTGGCTAATATCGAATGTGATGCCAGCCTGGGCTACTTGAGACCTGAACACAGACAAAGAACAAAGATTGGCGCCTGGAGCACACAGACAGGGCCACACTGGGTCTACAGCCCTCACTATCCGATTCCACCATTAGCCAGCCGTGGGGGCTGGCTCGGAGTCTCCTCTCCCTTCCTCCCATCTCGTACCAGTCACTGTAACCAAGTTTTTAAAATATTACCTCATTAAAAGGCCAAAAAGCAAACAATGACTCAGGTCTGCTCTATCTGCCCAGAGAATGATCTATGATATAGTAATTGGGGTTCTGAATGAGTGAGTTTACTGAGCCTACAACAAGCAAAAGTGGAAATAAAGAGTAAGCAGCGCGTACACAGAAGCAGCGGCGGGTCCCTGGATATCCAGCGGAGGTGGCCGGAACAGCCTGACAGAGAGCCAACGCAGCAACCGCACTAACAGCAGCACCCAGCCCACCAACAGGCTTACAAACACCCAGAAGTGACTGTGGAGGAAGCCGAGGCTGTGAGCTGGGGTTCCCGACTGAGCTCTCTCCATGGATGAGCTCCCAGAGACTGAACTTCCAGAGTCCTGTTCCCGCTGCAGGCGTTTTTATACCAACGGACACAAATTAGTGACCTCTGGTAAACATGATTAACCTTCCAGCGCTTCTCAAGAAAACTGTTGTCACATGGGCTGTCTTGGTGTCCTTCTCTCTGGATGTCAGCTAATCCTGAACAAAGGGCCTTGGTGGACACTTTGAGACAAACATGCTTTGGTCTACAGTGGAAGAGAAGCAACCCTTCTTGCAGAGCCAGTACCTCATGAGCTCAGTCAGCATGTGACAGTTTGCCAATATAATGTACATTATACCTGCCCTCAGAGAGAGAGCCAAACATCTTGGCAAGAGACATTCTCCTCCTTGCAAAGTCAGGGGAAAGAAAATCAGAATTATGATAAGGTTCTAGGAAAAAGCCATTAATTCTGTCAGAAGGTTTCAGAACAATTCACAGAAAAGACAGATCTGTTGGGATTCCATCTTGCAGAGTTTTGATTGTGATAGAGCATTCTGGGAGAGAAGTCTTTGTAAGGATAGGGCAGCTTATTAAAGAGCCAGTACAGGCCAGTCTTTGTAGCTCATGCCTTTAATCCCAGCACTCAGAGGAGGACCCCTCTGAGTCCAAGGCCAGCCTGGTCTACATAGCAAGTTCCAGGACAGCCAGGACTACCTAGAGAGACCCTATCTAAGAAAGCAAAAACAAAAAGCCAGCATGTAATGGGGAAACAGAGCTGTTGGGTGCCTGCTCTAGGCCTGAAAGCCAGGGCTGCTGGAAGTATTAAGGAAGTTGGACAATGTTTCCCATGGAACACTGTCTGCCGATCTATTGACATTTTACATGTTTAATCTCAGTCTTAGAACCTGGTTAGCATTCTTCTGTGAGTCACAAAACAGCTTTCTTTCTGTTGATGTGGAAGGAAAATACTTGTTTCATGGTGGTGACAAATCTGGTTATTTGAGGCCTTGCTGGTGGATATTAGTGTATTTGACCTTCCTATCCTTATTTGAGTCCTAATTTGAAAGAGGAGAAAGGAATTCTAAACCACAAAGCCCAAGGCGTCACCTTCTGTTTTCTCCAGATTGAACAGCAGGTTCTAAACAAAACGCTTCCTTGTGAGAACTATGTATGCCAAGCTGTATGTTTTAAACTCAAAAGTCATTTTTGGAGTCAGGCCTAGTGGCCCACATTTGCAGTCCTGCCACTTGGGAGGTAGAGTCAGGTGGATCCAGAATTCAATGTTATCCTGAACTACAAAATGACTTGGAAGTCAGACTGAACTCAAACAAAAAAATAATTTTATTACTAACCATAATCTGATAAAACCCTGTTTGACCAATGATTTTATGTGAAATAGAAATCCTCAACTCTGCAAAGGGCACAATTTGGGAATCAAACTGCCTGGGGCTAGAATCTTGATTTATTTATTTATTTATTTTTATTTATTTCTGGGACTGGAATCTTGGTGTGCTGTTTAGTAACTGTGACCCCCAGAGCTCATGTGGCTTTTCTGAGATGCCAGTTTCTTTCTCTTTAAGACTTATTTTTATCTTATGTGTATGAGTATTGTATTTCTGTGTGTGTATGTGCACACAATATGTATGCAATACCTGAAGAGGCCAGAAGAGGGCTAAGATTCCCTGGATCTGGAGTGATAGAGAGTTGTGAGCCACCATATCGGTGTTGAGAAGTTAATCTGGGTCCTCTGGAAGAGCAGCCAGTGCTCTTAACTGCTGAGCAATCTCTCCAGCCCCCAGTTCATGTTCATTCATGTTCATTCTCTCCCACCCCACCAAGGTCTCGCTATGTAGCCCTGGCTGGCCTGGAACTTGCTATGTAGACCAGACTGGGCTCAAAATCACAGAGATCCTCCTGCCTCTACACCCCAAAGGCTGGGATAAAGTCACATGCCACCATGCCCCGCCCAGTTTTCTCTTTTATGAAACAGCTGTAGCTGAGATCTGCAGTGTTGGGGATTGAACTGAGGCCTCAAACTCACCAAGCCAGTGCTCTACCTTTGAGCTACATCCAGCAGCTCAGCTCTGGAACTGTGGGATAATGATGCATTCAAAACAAATCAAAATCAAGCTTGGGGGTGGGGGTAGATCTGTGATTCCAGCGTTCAGAGGGATTTAGAGTTTCAGACCACAAACCAAATAAAACCCAAACCAAAAACATGTAAATCTGACTGTGAAAGATTAAATGTGCCCTATTTATTTGAAACTGGGACATTTTCAATGAAGGGCACTTGTGACGAGTGGCTTTCTTCCCACCCTCTCCCTGTCTCACTCTGCATCTTCCTTATGGAGATATGAAATAATATCTTACCACTGATGGCGTCTTACCCTAGACGAATTACAACAGATTCTGTACTGAGTTTTTCCTAGATAGGGAAGAAAGAGTAAAGGACACACCAGAAGTGAAGAATACTTTCCAAATGTCTTGTTCTTGCCTAAAATTCTCCTCCCTTCGTGACCATGGCCCTTTACTCTCCTCTTACCAGCCCTTGCCAACCCCCTCCTTCTCCACCTCCTACCTTCCTTTCCTTGCTCCTCTCTCCCTCCCCTCCCCCAACCCCTCTCCATATCTTTCCTTTGATTTCATTCTTTCTGCCTGTCTCTGTGTTACTGTCTATCTCTTTACTTCTCCGTCTTGATCTCAGTGGCAACTCTTAATGACTTCTTCTAGCTGGACATGGAACATTCCTATGACGTCAGGAGGCAGGGGCAGGTAGAACCCGGGCTCCAAAAAGCCTGTGCTAAGTAGAGAGCAAGATCTGGTTTCAAAATCAAAACAAAATAATAATAAATAAACAAAAACAAATAAATGAAAGCCCCCCAAGGGGCTCAGCAGTTAAGAGCACTTGCTACTCTTACAGAGGATCTGAGTTCAGTTCCCAGCTCCTACATGGTGGTTCACAACCATCTGTAACTTATTCCCAGGGGTCCAATGCCTTCCTCTGGCCTTGAAGGCACCAGGCATGCATGTAGTGTACAGACATACAGGCAAGCAAAACACCCATATACATAAAATAAAGTTTTAAAATCAACCAAACAACTGTAAAGACTTCTAGGAATGTACATCTCAGAATCTGAAGACCAGAAAGGAAATTAGATTATTTGATATTTTGTGGTTTCATGGATAAAATATCTACCTCATGAGACTTTTATGAAGATTAAATGTTTGGGGACATATGAAGAATCCAATAAATGTTGGCTGTAATTATTTATTAGTCATATATAGAGAATGGAACCATCAACATCATAACAACAGAGATAAAGAGTTTAAAAAGTCCAGAGCTAAAAGACAGACTCGCCCATGGTCTCCACACCACCTTCTCTCCTAGCTGGAACCAGAAACATGTCCTGGCCAAGTTTGACTTTCTGCCTTGCTAGTGACAAAGCATGCTTAGGACTCGGAGTCCTGAATGGGAGGAACAGGAGGGCAGACAGTCATGTGCACTTCAATGCATCTTTCGACATAGCAGTGTGGGATATCTTTAGACCAGCACGGGGAACTTGACGCCACCCTTTTACAACTCTTCTCCTCCAGGAAGGCTTTTCTGAAGACATTTTCTTACAGACAAAGGAACACTCCACGCCACTCTTCTCGGAGTTCTCCAAAGAGCACCGTCAGAATCACTAACATCCACAGTAATAATTCTAAGAGCATTTTCTTGCTCCCAGTCCTGGAAGATAAGAGGGAATTGGGCAACGTTTCATTTACACTTGCTTTTCACTTATCACATGAGTGGGAACCGGAGAGACTGCCCAAAGGCTGACGGGAGCCGACCCGCTGTGCACCCTGTCGATTCAGGCTAAAGCTCTGCCCTGTATTTGGTGCAGGCCTTTGGGGGACAGCTCCAGGTGACTGAGCTTGCGAGGGTAGCATCCTCATGGCAGGCTTAGTCCCTTGTGTGAGGGAACTCCAGGAGTCAACAGTGACCTCCTGTACTGCCACCTGGGTCTTGCATCTATCTTCAACGTGAGAAACATCTGGGGTTAAGCCACTCTGCCTGCAGGATTGTGACAGGCCCAGCCAACTGAGACAAGGCAAGCAGCCTCCCATAGTCAGGGGCAGGTGGCAGAGGGTTGACAGGGAGCTCTCTTGGGCTAACTTGTGAGAAGAACAGAAGTACGACCTGGAGAGCAAGTCAGAAGAGAAGAACACGTGAGTGATTCTGTCAAACCAAAGGAAGTCTCAATGTATCTCAGAACTAGGAAGTTTTAGATTTAGAAAGTGTAACATAACCTTAACTGTCCCTGGATGAGCTTGCTGTCTCGAGTGGAGACGGAGCTGGTGGCAGCCGCAGGAGTAATTGCTGCCTTGCTGGGTTCCGCAGCTGCTGCTGGGACAGCCTCAAGGCCCCTCATTGTGTGACTTTAAGTCCTTAGCTGAATACAGGAAGGAAGACACAAAACCCTGGGAAGCGGCCTGTCCCACCTCTGGGAAGCCGGGTCTCTTCCAAAAGGGAGTTCTTAGGCTATGGAGTGGTCTAAGAGGAACTAAAAATATGAAAAACTAAAAAAGCTAAGCATAGTGGTGCACGCCTTTAATCCCAGCACTCAGGAGGCAGAGGCAGGTGGATCTCTGTGAGTTCCAGGACAGCCAGGGCTACATAGACCTTGTGCCAAGTCCAAGAACCACGCCACACACAACCAATCTCGAAAATGTTACAAAAATGGCCTCAAGTAACCCAGGTCACAAAGATAAGAATCTCTTAAGGGGGTCGACCCCAAGTTCCTGAGGAACCATGGGCTTTGCGAAGAAGCCCAACAGGGAAGGCCCGAAGAAGATGCAGGCCAGCGGCGTGAAGGTGATGAGTGCGCGTGCAGAGGCCATCAAGGCACTTGTGAAGCCCAAGATGCTAAAGGGCCCCAGCCGCAAGCTCAGCCATCCTGCTTTCATCGCTCACCCCAAGCTTGGGAAGCAGATTAGAAGCTATGTGGCCAAGGGTCATAGGCTCTGCCAACCAAAACCCAAGACTCAAACCAAGGCAGAGGCCTCAGCTCCAGTTCAGGCTCCCAAAGGTGCCCAGGCCCTTGTGACGGCCCCATAGAAAAGGTTTCTGTCTGCCAATGTGAAGACAGATGGACTGGTGTGACACACCTACACACCATTGCAGACGATCAGTGCCCTGTGCTGATTACAAATAAACTTGAGGCAAGATCTGTTAAAAGGAAAAGAAAAGTTATATATGTACGTGTGTGAGAGAGAAAGAGGAGAGACAGACAGACAGACAGATTTAAGAGCAAATTCTCCGAGATCCATACGACACAAGAGCCTCTTTCTTCCCTCTCTCCCTCCTTCCAGTTGACTGGATTTTTACTGTTGTTTCCCATGTGCAGTTAAAAAAGAAAGCTGTAGTTTTAAAAACAGGAGCTGATGGCTTGATGGGATTTCTCTCTCAATCTCTGTGTCTGCTTCACACAGCTGTCCTGAGTGCTTGCTGGCCCTGGGAAATCAAGAGTGATGGCCACAGAGCGAGAAGCCCGGGAAGAGGGTCGCGGGGACAGGCAGCTTGCCTGGCATGGAGTGTCCTGCATGGTCCCCCAGGCCCATGGCATGGTCCCCCAGCCCCATGACTACCACCAGGCACAGAAGTGTCTAGTTTTGAGGAAAATGCCTTGCCGAGCCACTCAGCTCCAGGGCTACACAAACAGGGTGTTTAGAGTCCGGGCCTTCTGGGTCCCTGGGAGATCTTGTACTTGCACTGCCCAGAAATTTGGGAAGAATCTTCACTTCATAGAGATAGCCCTAGAAAAAGGGGCAGAGGGACATGGAAGGGGGGGGGGGGGTGGGAAAAAAAGAGAGACTCCAGGCCGCCTAGCCTGAGGTCTGTGAGCCCAGTCAGAGGCTCTCAGGAGAGGAAGGCCTGAACTGTCTCATACCTGGGAAGGTGGCAGCCGCGGAGTACTGCAGAGACCTCTCTGCTGATCTTTGTCAGTCCTGCCCTACCCAGCTGCTCTGGGCCCTGACTTTGGGCAATTAGAGTGTTGGCCACAGAATGAAACTCTCAGGAAGATGCAAAGTTTAAAGAACAATTCCCCAGGGGCTGGAGAGATGGCTAAGGGGTTAAGATCACTGGCTGCTCTTCCAGAGGACCTGGGTTCAATTCCCAGCACCCACATGGCAGCTCACAACTGTCTGTAATTCCAGTGCCAGGGAACCCAACACCCATGGCAAAACACCAATGTGCATAAAATAAAAATAAATAAATTTTTTAAAAAACCACAATTTAAAAAAAAAAAAGAACTATTCCCCAGTAGTACTACACCCAAGCCTTTAATCCCAGCACTTGGGAGACAGGCAGATCTCTGAGTTTGAGGCCAGCCTGGTCTACTGAGTGAGTTCCAGGGCAGCCAGGGTGACACAGAGAAACTCTGTCTCGAAAAAACAAAATAAATAAGTAAACAGAGCAACTCCTCAAAGCTAAGGACATGCCAGTCACATCTGAGTCACATAGTGAGGATGCCATGTTACTGGTGGCTTCTAGGTCCTGCGACCCCTGGTGAGAGGGAGGCCCTGAAGGAAGAAGGCATACCGTGACAGGCCTCTGCAGTCCTGGCTTTGGAGGTGGCTGAGAGCCTGAAGTTGGTAGCTAAACAGGTACCACCATCTATATAGATGGTGGAGAGCTAGGAAGGAAGCCCCGGAGGGTCACTATGGCCTTGGCAGCAGGTACTTACCATTTGGAGACAAGGCACAAAGCTGGGAGCACCCTTACTGTGATAGGTAGAAATCACAGCTCGGGAGCCTCTGAGGTTTTGGTTTTTTGTTTTGAAACAGGGTCTCACTCTGTAGAGCTGGCTAGCCTTGAACTCACAGAGATCCACCAGCCTCTGGCCCCCAGCATGGGGATGAAAGCTGTGTGCCACCATACCCAGCCAAGACCCTGGCGTTACGCTTACGTTCCTCCTGCCTATCCTCTCTATCAAACATAATAATAAAAAAAGTTAAGAAATGAATTGTTAAAGAACAAAATGATAGTAAGTCTAATTTCAAGGTTGGGATTTGCCTTAATTTGTGATTCTAGAATCAGGCAACACTCTGTTTAAGGTGAAAAAAGCAGAATCCCAGAACAGGAGTTAACTAGCCACTCGGAAGTTACTTTCCTCACAAGACAAGAATAGTGAGCCAGGACAGACAGAAGGACATAATTATCCTACAGTTTGGGAACTTTGTATCTGTCTTATGGTTTCTTGGAAGGAGAGACAGCAACATAGTAATGTGTAATTTTAGCATGAGTGACTCCATTTTGATTTCTGTCCATTGTCCATTGGGGCGAGTCTAAAACAATGTCCTCCTGTAATCTGTATTTACTATGACTGTCTTACACACAGTGAGCCCTTGGTACCCAGTCTGATTGTAATGCCAACTCAGAGGAGAATAGCCCAAAGGATAGAGAGTGCTCAGGAGAATGTTGGGAGAGGGCTGAGTTAGATACAGAACAGGTCAATGTATGTCCAGGGCAATCAAACCAACCCATTCTTTTACAGGTTAAATCCAGCTTTACAGAGTCCTGTAATTAACAGGTCAAATGCAGATATACTACTTAAAATACAGGCAGGGGTGCCAGGGAGATGGTTCAGCAGTTAAAGGATCTTGACCAAGCCAGACAACTGAGTTCCATGTGGTAGGAAAAAAATGAATGCACAAAGGTATCCTGTGACCTCCATGTGCACACATGCTTGAGTACATGTACACAAACACACACACACTAAACAAACAAATAATAAATGTAAAATACACATATTCTGATGAAGAGGCTGGAGAAACAGCTCAGTGGTTAAAAGCACTTGTTGCTCTTGTGGAAGACGTAGGTTCAATTCCCAGCACCACATGGTTGTTTACAAGTATCTGTAACTCCTGTTCCAGAGAATCCCACGACCTCTTCTGACCTCTGTGGGCACCATGCACACACATGATACACACACATACATGCATACAAAACACTCAAACATAAAATATAGTGAATAAATCTTTTTTTAAAAAAAGGTAAAACATGAGGGGGCAGGGTTCAATGAGATGGTTCAGTGGGTAAAGGTGCCTGTTGAACTTGAGTTCCACCAAACTGACCCCACATGATGGAAGGAGAGAACCTGCAAATTGTCCCCTAATCTCCAATCACAGACACACAGACACAGACAGACACACACAGAGAGAGAAATAAAAATGTCATGGAAAAGCATCGATGTTTTCTGTTCTCCTTTAATGCAGACTAGGCTGTTACATAATACTGACTCACGAGGGTTTGAAAGGGCATGCAATAATCTTTTTGCTAATTTGGGGCTTTTTCTTTTCCTGTAAGCAGGGGAAGCCAGGGACTAGATTCCTGTCCCCAGCTGGGAGAACCGAAGGAGCAAGCCTGGGGGCCTCTGACATCCCAGGAAGCCTGTCCTTTCTGGTGACTGTCCCTCTAAAACTGTCCCCTTTGCTACTGACCTTGCATCTAGGAGTGTCCTCTGCGCCACCCCTCAGGGACCCTTGTGCCAACTCTGGGTTCCAAATGTGATGGGAGACCAAACACAGACCTGTCCACCAGAAGTGAGAGGATGCTGAAGCCTGGTTGAGGACAAACGGGAAATACCTAACAACATTTTAATCATGGTAAAATATGTGAACAATAAATGTACCATTGAACAACGTGTAAGCATCCACTTGATGGTACTATGTGCATTCATGTTACGCAATCATCCCAACCATCGACCTCGAGTACACGCTTTCATCTCTCCAAATTTAAATGTGGACCGTCATTCCCGTCCCTCTCCCTCCCGGTCACCACTCTACCTGTGTCTTTGAAAGCTCACTCTCCTGGGCAGTTCACAGGAGGAGAACTGGAGCCTTTGCACTTCATGTAGCGTGTCTTCCAAGCCCATTCATGTTGCGGCATATGTCAGGAGCTCACTTTTCAGAGCTGAATAATTTCCATTTCAGACGCGTGCCTTATTTATGAGGTCACTCGCTGACGTGTCTCACCATCTTACATGAACACACTCTGTGACTTAGGACGTGGAAGCCCATTTTGAAGCCTTTGTCTATACTTGCATAAACAGATATAAAAGGTATTTGTGGAAGACCTCAGGGTCACTACTTAACAGATCGTTTTTCCTTCTTTCTTGCCAGTAGGGACTTGAGTTGCTTGAATAGAGGACAATTTGACAAAATCTACACCAACTTGTGTACTTTAAGATTTTGAAACTGGGACCCTATTTTATTTTGCATTTTGGCAGCTGGAGAGTCAACGAAGGCCTCACACGTGCTAGGCCAGCCCTTTTTCACTGGGCTATGGCTCACCTCCAGCCCCATAGTCTATTGAACGCAGCATCCTCTATCTGTCCTCACTTGACAGCTCCGATGAACTTATGTTCTCCTCTCGGTCCCACCCACTCACCACACCTCTCACAGCTAAGAAAAGCGGCACAGAGCACATCGTGAGTGTTAACAAAGTGATTCACGAGGTCAAATTTAGTTTGGGAAGTAACTTGTTCCCCGACTCTTTTCTATACAGGTCATACCTCTTTAACTGCATGGAGGAGCACCCTCCCAGACTCCTTGAACATCTTGAAACCACCATAAATGGAAACCTGAAAGTGAAAATGCCCTTTTCGAGATGCCCAGGCCCCAGCGTTGGGAGCGACTCCACCTTCTTGGAGCGCCCATCCTCAGCCTTGCCAGCTACAGGAGGCCATGTAGCTCTGTAACCCAACCACAAGGTCAGGCTCTGGTAGAGTGAGGACCGTCTCCAGAGAGCGTTGTCCATTCTTCCCTGCATCGTATGTTGGCTGGAGGGGCATTTGCACAGCACAGTCCGTGATGCTGAAATTCCTCCCCGGGGGAGATGTGAACAACTCTACTTCTCCGTCTAAGGTCCCAACAACAAATCACTCTGGGAAACCAGTGAGTTTACCAAGCTTACCTACAGAGCGCAATGGGAGAGGGTTGAGTTCACGGAGGGCCACGTGCTCTGCCTTCTCCACACCAACCCAGCCCTCGGTTCCACCGTAGCGCGTTTGCAAAATGGTCACAGCCGCTCTCAGTCCAGTCACAGGCACTCAGAACTCTTTTAAACACACATTAGCCTTCAGTTGTTCTGGAAAATTGCCAGCTGCACCACTAAACCCATCTGCTTTGGCAGCTTGGAGGAAACCTCACTGTTAAGCGCCATTGTTTCTCTGAACAGGCTGTAGTCCCCAGTTTCTGAGAGGCATGCTTCGCTGAACCCTGGTTTCCAACAAGTCCCCCCCTCTCTCCACTGTCGCTCTGATCTGCGCTTTCTGAAGTAATGATGATGTCAGGCATTCTTCATGAGCTCTTTGGTTATTTATTGACCTTTGGAGAAATAACTACTCAGAGCTTCGTGTGTGTTTGGCTTGGTTCTTTTTAATTACACTTAAATGTAGCTGGAGTTTTCTCCAGTCCTGCCCAGCCCCACAGGCCCCGCAACCACTTATAAAATAATCACCCAGAAGCTTATATTAATTAAACTGCTCGGCCATTAGCTCAGGCCTACCGCTGACTAGCTCTTACACTTAAACTCAGCCCATTTCTGTTAATCTATATGTCGCCACGTGTTCCGTGGCTTTACCTGCGTGCCTTTACATGTTGCTCCCTGGACGGCAGGCTGGCATCTCCTAACTCAGCCTTCCTGTTCCCAGAATTCTTTTCTCTGCTTGTCCCGCCTATACTTCCTGCCTGGCTACTGGCCAATCAGCGTTTTATTTATACAGAGCAATATCCACAGCACTTAATTTTTTTATTCAGTGTAGGGGTGACTCATGTGTGCCTCAGCATGGACACGTGGAGCTCAGAGGACAACTTGTGGGAGTCAGGTCTCTTCTTCCATGTGGTTCTAAAAATGGCACTCAGATCATCAGGCTTGTTGGCAAGCTCCTTCCCCCGTGAGCCACCTCGCCAGCCCTACTCTAATTATTGACCAGTTCATGGAACTTGGGTATTTTCTTTTCAGTTTTTCCACATTTCTGATATGAATGCGGCAGTAAGAAATGCTTAAAACAAAATAACTCATAAAAGACCAGAATAAGGTGGGTATGGGGGTATACACTTGTCACCCCAGAACTTAGGAGGAGGCAGAAGGGTGGGCAGTTCAAAATGGTCCTCAGGTACATAGTGAATGTGAGGCCATGGGCAACAGGAGACCCTGTCTCAATCCAATGCCCCATCCCTGCCCACAAAAAAAAAAAAGAGCCAGATAAAGCTGGGAATGGCATCTCAATAGCCTCCTCTGGAGTTCTTGAAGAGCAAATACATTAACTCAGCCACCCCACACAACACCCAGCACACATCCATTCAGCTGGCATTCCTTTCCTGGAAAGGTATGGGCCTTTTTGGCTCTGGCTAAGGCATGTGTTAGCAGGAAGAGGGTCAAAAATCATTAGAGGTGGATCCTGATTACAGTAGAAAATTCCAAGTCTGACAGAGGGGAAGAGAAGCGTTAGAGCTAAGACAGCAGTGTGCCAGCGGCCTGGGGTGGGCAGCCAGGAGGAGGAGGTTGCCCACGGCACCGATTCCTGTCCCAGCCCTGTGCAGTTTCCCCTCAATGGTGGCATGATGGGGCCACACTCTCCTAAATGGGGAAGCATTTTTTTTTAAGGCAATCTTACAATATCTCTGTTAATTTTGCCTACAACGTCTTTTCTCCTTTTTCTTTTGATGTGAGCTGACACCAGCTCATTTTGACCATTTGGCAATCCTCAGATCTGGGATCCACCAAGGGTCACACTAACATCCTACCAGGCTGAGGTCAAAGTCCACCAAACACACAACCACTGCCCAGCAAACAGGCACAAAGCCTGTAAACCTTAGCCAGGGGTAGTGTCCCCTCTAAGATGGCTGTCACACTCCCTCGATCCCAGAGCAGCTCACTTTATGGAATTAGACCACGTGCTCCTTGGTGAGACAGGGAGATGCAGACCCGGCGGGGCTCAGACCTCAAGGGCTCAGAAAGAGCCAGGTCCATGAAAAGTATATGAGACCCTCTGTGCAGTCTCCACAGCTTGTCGGTAGATATAAAGTTATTCTGAAGCAAAGCCTAGTTTCAAAATCAACAACAACAAAATGTGTCTAAAAATTTAACTGAAGAAAATATGCCATGTCAAATTATCCACATTAAAAGGGGCTCCTCAGTGGTGATACGGTTTGGGTGCTTTACCTACTTGATGAAAAGAAATCCTTCCAGCTGGAGTCGTGTCCCGGTAGTTAAGAGCACTTGCTGTCTTCAGAGGACCCAGGTTCAGTTTCCAACACCCACATGGCTGCTCACAACCTTATGAAACTCTGGTTCCAGCGGATCCAGCACCCTCTTCTGGCTTCTGTGGGCACTAGGCATGACTGTGGTGCACAAAGTCAAAACATAAAAAAAAATAATAATAATAATAATAATAATAATAATAATAATAAACAATTCTTTTTAAAAAAGAAAAGAAAAAGCCATCTCTTTGGGCAAAGGAAATCCAAACCCTCAGGATATAGCCCTGGCTCTTCACCCAAAGGTGTGAGGGGTGCTTTATGACGGTTTGAATGAAAATATCCCCCATAGGCTCAAAAGGAGTGGTACTATAAGGAAGTGTGTCACTGGGGGTGGGCTTTGAGGCTTCAAATGCTCAAGCCAGGCCCAGTGTCACTTTCTCTTCCTGCTGCCTGCTGATCCAGATGTAGAATTCTTGGCCCTTCTCCAGCACCATGCCTGCCCAGTCACTACCATGCTTCCCAACATGATGATAACGGGCCAAACATCTAAATCTGTAGGCCAGCCCCGATTAAATGTTTTCTTTATGAGAGTTGCCAGGCTTGTGGTGTCTCTTCACAGCAATAGAATACTGACTAACACATGCTTCATTTTGTCATTATGATTACAACCCAGAAAACAAGGTTCAATTAGCTTCTTAGCCTGCCTATTGTATCAGACTTCGGAGGCCAATAAGAAAGGCGGGGCACATCCACTGGGAGTGAGATGACCTCAAAGGGTGATTAGTGACTGTCACTTAAGGGTAGTGGCCTCAGAAGGGTAGGGCCAGTGGCAGGGAGCCATGAGCTCCTTAAACAGACGGCATGACACCTCAGTGTCCTGACGCTGTGCCTAGCCTATCTGAAGCCAGCTAGTAGTCTGCTAAAACATGCGATTACAGAGGACAGGTCATGGGGTTGGATGACCCAGGGGGTGATTCAGGTGTGAGCGCAAAGAAACCCTGGCTTTAGGGCATTGGAGGGGAGTGGCAGCCAGAGAATCAGAGAGTCAGCCCTCACCCAGGAGCAGTGAGGGAAGGCACTGCGGTCCAGCCTCTGGCCTCCTCCTGACTGTGGGGGGCAGAGTGTGCTCCTCGCATGTAGCCACACCCCCTCAGGATTTCTAAGAAACACTTGGCCTGCCTGCAGTGGTTCCCTGACGCCAGCTGTGCTACAGTCTGGGCAGATTTTAACTTGAAAATGTACAAACATCCTTCCAGCTGCTTCCTGCTTTTTCTTCCTGGGCCGGAACGATGTAGGGGGAGAGGGCAGTTCTGAAACCAAACGCAGAGTGCTATGCAGGTTGGGGGAGGGGTGGTCAAAGAGCCAAACTCTGTCTAAGGAGGCAATATGAAAGGAGCTGCTTAATAATTCAGAGCCCTGACTGAGCCTACCCGGAGCAGAAGCGAAGGATCCACGCCCTTCTCTCTTCACCAGCGTGCAAATATCCTGGCTGACCCCTAGATGGGAAGGAATGGCCAGTGACATGGGGCTAAAACCACCATTCACTCATTCACTCACTCATTCATCATTCAACAAAGTCCTCATCACTGCTATTGCATGCCATGCAGCCAGTACCCAGTGCCAAGGTTGCACACGGGGTGAGGCAGACATTCTCTGCTTCATGGACCTCAGAATCTGCCCTGGTTCTCAACCATTAAGGGCCCCCCCCCTGAAATCTCCAGTTTAGTAGGTCTTGGTAACCTTCAAGCTTGTGTCTCTGAAACATACCCTGAGTAACTGAGCTGCTGTCCCAGCTAATTCTCTTCCTGGCATAAAGCGCTTCACGGGAGGAAACGGAGCCCGGCATATGTTACAGCCTGAACTTAGCAGCCCCAGAGCCAAGGCCATCCCAGGTCTACCCAGTAAGGAAAAGCCGTATCTTAATGCACAGACATGCCTGGGAAGACTTCACGAGGCCCAAGCTCCCACCCTGACAGGAGAAGAGGGACAGCATGAGAAGTCTCTCATTGACTTTTCTGAAATAAAGGTCTTCTTCACCCATGCCAAGTGTGGGCCTACACCCTCAGTGTCGGGGTCTGGGCTGGGGGCAGGTGAGAGCCATCTTCTTTCCACCTGAGCGAGGCTTCACCGTGTGCACACTGGTTGTTGGTGGCTTTCAAGTTGTGCAGTCACGTTCACAATCAACTTCAGAACATTTCCATCACCCTAACATGAAACCCCCTTCAGCTACTAATCTCCTGCTCCCGGCCCCGCCCCGCCCCCGCCTCCCCCCCCCCCCCCCCCCCCCCCCGCAGCTCTAGGCAAGCACCAACCTTCCAGCTACAGCAGTGGTTCTCAACCTGTGGGTCACAACCCCTTTGGGGGCCTGAGAACATTGGAAAACACAGCTATTTAGATTATGACTCATAACAGTGGCAAAATTACAGTTATAAAGTAGCAATGAAACTAATTTTATGGTTGGGGGTCACCACAACATGAGAACTGTATTAAAGGGTCGCATCATTAAGAAGGTTGAGAACCACTGATATACAGACTCCAGGCATTTGATAAAAATGTAATCATACTCTATGCTGTCATTCAAGTTTGACATGTGTACGTGTGTGTGTGTGTGTGTGTGTGTGTGTGTGTGTGTGTGTGTGTGTATGTGTGTGTGTACACAAGTATGCTCATATGTCATGAGCACGTATAGGCCAGAGGTTGGTGTTAAATGTCTTCCTCAGTTGTTGTTGTTGTTGTTATTATTATTATTATTATTATTATTATTATTATTATTATTTTAAGACAAGGATAGCCTTGACTGGCCTGGAACTTTCTATGTAGATCAGAATGACCTCAAACTCATAGAGATCTGCCTGCATCTCCTTCTCAAGTGCTGGGATGAAAGATATGTATCACCACACCCAGTCTATTAATTTATTTCTAGACAGGCTCTCACTATATAGGTCCGGCTGGCCTGGAACTTGCTATTTAGACCAGACTGGCCTCAAAGCCACAAAGATCTACTTCCTCCTAAGTGCTAAGATTAAAGGCATGTGCTACCATGACTGTCTTACTGTGGTAGTTTGAAAAAACATGGTCCCCATAGGGAGTGGCACTATTAGGAGGGATAGCCTCGTCAGAGTAGCCTTGTTGTGGCCTTGTTGGAGGAAGTGTGTCACTGTGGGGGTGGGCTTTGAGGTCTCCTGCGCTCAAGCTATATCCAGGGTCACAGACTCCTTCTGCTGCCTGCAGATCAAGATGTAGGGCTCTCAGCTCCTTCCCCAGCACCATGTCTGTCTACATGCTGCCATGTTCCACCATGATGATAATGAACTAAACCTCTGAACTGTAAGCCAGCCCCAATTAAATGTTTTCCTTATAAGAGTTGCTATGGTCATGGTGTCTCTTCACAGAAATAGAAACCCTAGCTAAGGCCCTTACATATTTTTAATTTTTTATATTTTTTATTTTAGATGTATGTGTGTTTTTCCTGCAAGAGTGTATATGCCACACACATGCATGCCTGATACTGAAGGAGGTCAAAAGAAGGCATCAGGTCCCCTGAAACCGGAGTCATAGACGTTTGTGAGCTACCGTGCAGGTGCTGAGAACCAAACCCCCACCATCTACAAGAAGCAAATGATTCTAACCACTGAGCCATGTCTTCTGCCCCTTATTTATTTTTGATATTACTTGTTTTCACATTTAGTTAGTGTATGGATGTGTGTGCATGTGTGCCCACGCTTGTGTAAAACGGACTAGATCACACCACTGCACCCGGGATGTGAGCTCAGGGCCTCCTGTTTGTGCAGCAAGTGCCTCACCCGCCGAGCCATCTCCTCAGCCCCCCCAAATTACCTTTACCAGGAAAATGGGACTACCTTGAACAGGTCCAGAGAAATAGCAGGCAGAAGCACAGGCGGAGACAGGACGTTTGGGAGTAACGTCCTGTCTGAATCCCAGAGCCTTACATCCCAGGACGCCAACTCCCACTCACGGGACCCTAGAGAGCAGTGTGAGGGTCAGTGAGGGCCTGGCCCATGTGTGCTTACGATAAGGAAGCGCCTCAGTGAGAAGAGGCTCTGGGAACCCCACGGGGGAGCCAGCCCGACTCCATTTTGAAGGCAGGAGCCATTATGCTATAGTGTTAAAAATGAGTTTCCAATTATTGTAAGAGCTAAGTTTCTGTTTTTAAGTCTCTGTTTCCTAGCATTTGACCTGCCCCAACCATGACCTTGACTTGTTTTTTAGAACACCCTGACCCTCTTTCTTAAGGTTTCTATTGCTGTGAAGAGACACCATGACCACAGCAACTCTTATAAAGAAAACATTTAATTAAGGCACTGGCTGGTACCTGGAAGCAAAGGAACATAAGGAGAGACTCGGAAAGGTAGGCATACCCATGGAGCCTCGGGAAGGCTTATAGGGACTGTGCTAGGGGGCAGGAATTCTGGCAAGAAAAAGTACATCATCTCATCAAAGGAATAATTATTCCTCCTACCTCTTTAGCATAATTTGAAGTAGATAGGCCTTCCTGAGGGGAGGGCTCTGCCTAGGAGTTTGACTTGCCCAACTGTATTAACTCTTAAGGGAAATTAGGAGACACAACCACATGTCTCCACCCAGATAATTTTTCTGCTAGGAGGCAACAGCTTTCCCTCTAATGGATCTTCAACACCTCTGCAACACCAGCTCCCTGCCAGCCCGTTGCTTTGGTGGCTGGAGCTGCTGCCTCCGCAGCAGCCCCACGTCTCGCTGTAGGCATCCCGTCACCATGGCTTCTCTGTTCAAACCTTCGCTTGTCCCAGTATGATGCATCATGGGAAATCCGGGACCCAGGTCAGCAATAGAGGGCACTAGCCTCTGGGAAGCCTCCCAAGGGTCTCTTACTCTATCAAGCCTGAGACAGGAATGCCAGGATTCCACTCAGAAGGAAGGAGGCTCTTCGATTCGGCTCTGCTCAAGAACAGTAACAGAACTGTCACTCTGCCCCCACCCCCATCATATCAGTGGTCTGGGGCTTTCAGTGCAGGTGCAGAATACAGTCTGGGGGCTCAAGCCAAAGGCAAACCCCAAGTCCCATGCCCTGCTATGCTCTTTGTAGCAATAGTTCAGGTCTGACAACAGGATCCACACCCACCCCAGATAAAGGCTGAAGGTCAATCAAGTGGGTATGGGCAAGAGAGCTAGCAGCAGGAGCACCTTTGGGCTCAGGCTGTAGCGAGAAGGCCTGGAAACAAAGCATAGTTCTCAGCGTGAGGAGGGCCCTGGGCCCAGGAGGCTGAGAGGCCTTAATTATTAAGCCCGTGAGAGAAACTGGCTCTCAAGAGTGCCAAGGAGAACAGATCTGCCCTGCCTGCTCTCGGCTCACAGTCCACCTGGAGGGGAAAACACAGCCACCACAGTGTGACCAGAGTGTAAACAGGCAGTCCGGGCTGGCCTAGGAGGACAGCCACACCTGGCCCCGCCCCCACTCCACGGGCCCCTTCAGATCTCAGGGCCTTATGTTTACAGGCTTGGGCTCACTTCCACCTCCCTGGGCTGGGCTTCGGCACACACATTTTTAGCATTCTCCTTCCAGTAAAGTAGTTGGTGTCTCATGTCCCTTCTGGTCTCATCATCGTCCCCCACCCCTGGCCCCCCAATGAGAACCTGCAGCTCCCCCCCCCCCCCCCCCCCCCCCCCCCCCCCCCCCCGGCCGCTCCCTCGCCCAAGGAAAACCAGCAGCTGCAGACCCGCATATTTTGGGTCTGGCTCCAGGAGCCTCTCCTACCAGCAGGAGATGTTCGATTCTGCCGGAGGTTTCTCCTCCTTCGGGTCCTCTGCACACCCAGGGTTAATGAGCCCTTACAAGGGTCGAATTTCCGGTGTCTAGAAAAGAAGAGCAGGAAGACCTACCTGAAAGCGGGTCAGAATGGTTCTTTGAAACCTGGAGGAAGCGATGTCAGCCTTCCATGGGCCGTGCTTCTGGACTGTCCCACAAGAAAAACCCTGGCGGCCTGAGGACGATCAGTGTGGTCCATGGGGTCGCTAACTCCGTTCTGGTTTTCTCGCCTACAGTCCATCTCTTCTCAAATTCCCAGAAACCACAGATTTCCTATTAATATTAATATTCCAGAAGGGGTCCAGGTTCTTGGGTCCCCAAAGGAAGAATTTAGCAGACAAAGACAACTTACTAAGAGTACACTTCCAAGGGACCAAGCTGGAACAAGGCCAGAGCAGCCCGAAGGCTGGGCTGTACCTAGCTGGAGTTTCACATGAGTAACATGGGATTACCACACATGCTCGGTTACCAGGAGTTACATATCAAACCTGACTTTTTCTTATAGCTGTATGAGTTCTAAGCCACATACAGTCACATAACACTCCCACAACAGGTGTACAGAACAGGTCTGTCACCCACAACTCCCCCTGCTACAGTCCATCCCTTCAAAACTATGCTTTTGACTTCCTGAGAATTATTCTGTGATAGGACGCAGATGGAAGGCGGTGACTGGGATGCCATGGGTGTGCCTGTATTTGCCAACCTTCCAGCCCAGACCTGCAGGATTCCCAATCTGTCTAACCCAGGGTAAGACTGGGTCAGTCTTCGAATCCAGCTCTGCCCTCCCCAACAAAGCTTCCAGAAGCCACTGAATTAGACTCAAGAACATGCACAGGGAAGCCCTTACACACTGTGCTCTGGGGACACTTAGTCCAACTTCCCAAGTCCCCAGAGTCTATCACAGTCTCAACCTGTTTCAAAAGTACAAAGTCAAAAGTCTTTTTGGAGACTCATAACAATCTCTTAACTGTAATCACCCATAAAATCAAAATAAAAAAGCAGATCACATACTTCCAAAATACAATGGCACAGGATATTGATGGAAATTCTAGCCACGGACCCATGATCGCTCATGCCCCAGCAAGACACTAGTCATTTCTGCCTAGTCATTTCTGGGTCATACGTCCTGTGCAATCCATGTGCTGTGTGGTCACGTAAATTGTGTGCAGTGTGACCACGTGATCTATACGCATGCATGGAATAGGCATGCGGGCCCATGTGCACATGTGTGGGGTAGCCCTTAAGAGGCGGATCCCATGTTCCCTCCCTCTTCTCCTCATGTGTCTTTCCAGCAGGCCTGACCACACTGTCCTTTCCTCTTCTTAATAAAACTCTTGATAGTGGGTTTTTGTTGTGTCTGGTGACTTTTCCTCGCAGGGTAAGAGCACCACTAAAACCAACACTGGTGTCGTGTAAAACAGGCCCTCCTGGCACTTTGCACCCAGGAACCTCTATCGGGGACTCTGCTCCATCTATGACAGCCCACTTTCCATTTGCCTGGCTACCGGATCCTGCACACAGTACCAGCTACTGCAATTGTTGAGTCCCCCACTTTTCAGACAACATAAACAGTCTCCTGGACCCATGGGAACAACCATCGAGTGTCCGGAGACTGGGTGTACCTCTGGTGTCCCTGAGACTGGGGGTACCCTGGGCCACGGCCTTCACTGGCTACAGTCGGTCCCTATCGCAGGCTAAATTTTCTAGCCATCTCCCACGTCTGCAGTTTGAGATATAATTCTCGAGGAAGGACCCCGGTCCTTGGGCTGCATCCTCAGTCTGCATAAGGCTGACACGTTTCTCTGGCTTGACGAAGCAGTAAATGCTGTTAGACTCCCAGGGGGTCTCCGCCTTCACGTGCCTTGGCCAACCTGCCCTGTGCCTCTAATGGGAAGGGAGTTTCTAGCTAAGGTAGGAGCATCCATTTCATTTGCTCCCCACATTCTCCTCACCCCAGACTCACCAGCAGCTCCTCTTCTTCTCCTAGCCACCCACCCTACTGACTCTAACAGTTCTTTCCCTTGCCAGCCTCTCAGGTAGACCCAATAGTCTGGGACACCCAGAACCCTTCTATGGCACCATCTGCCTATTACTATCCAGTTACAGGACCCTACCAGATATATCACCCAAGCTCAGTACCCTCTCTCACTCCAGAGCCTAAGAGGACTTAAGCCTATCATTTCTGACCTTCACAGGAAAAAGCTGCTCCATCCAACCTCTTCACCTTTTAACACCCCATACTTGCAGTTAAAAAGTCTAATGGAACCTATAGCCTGGTTCAAGACCTCCGGCTCATTAACTCTGCAGTGGTCCCTCTCCATCCTGTAGTGCCTAACCCTTATACTCTCCTGTCCACTGTCCCTTCAGGAACCTCTCACTTCTCAGTTCTAGATCTCAAAGATGCCTTCTTTTCTATTCCTCTCAGCCCTCAGTCTCAAAATATCTTTGCTTTCACCTGGACTGACCCTGACACTCACCTGTCCACACAGCTGACCTGGACTGTTCTGCCACAGGGATTCAGAGACAGTCCACACCTATTTGGTCAGGCTCTGGCCTCTGACCTGCTTTCTCTGTCTCTCCCTGGCTCTAAACTAATACAGTATGTAGATGACATTTTACTCTGTAGTCCATCCTTACAGGTTAGCCAAACTAACACCTCTGCTCTCCTAAATTTCTTATCCTGCCAGGATTACAGGGTATCTTCTTCTAAAGTTCAGCTGTCAACTCCCCAGGTCACCTATTTGGGTCTATCCATTACTCCAACCCACAAGGCTATTACTGTAGACTGAAAGTGCCTAATCCAGTCCCTCACAGTCCCTTCTACTAAACAGGAGATTCTGTCTTTCCTAGGAATAGCTGGCTTCCTACGGTCTTAGGTTCCATCTTTTTCTCTCCTTGCTCACCCCTTATATGAGGCACCTCTGGGCTCCCTACATGATCCCCTCCTTCACCCCATTACTAAACCCTTCCAGAAGCTCCAACAGGCTCTTCTCCAGGCCCCAGCACTTCACCTCCCAGACCTAACTCGTCCCTTCTCCCTCTGTGTAGCAGAGAAGGAGGGATTTGCCCTCGGAACCCTAGGGCATCAGCTGGGACCCTCCTTTGCACCTGTAGCCTATCTGTCAAAGAAGCTAGACCTTACCAGTCAGGGCTGGGCACCCTGCATTCATGCCTTAGCAGCTGCAGAGCTCCTTATTCGGGAATCAAAGAAGCTAAACTTTGGGTCACCTGTTACTGTCTTCTCTCATAACCTGTCCCATCTCTTAACTTACAAAGACTTACAAACTTTACCTCCTTCCTGGGTTCTTTCTCTACAGGTAGAATTACTAGAAGATGCCACACTTACTTTCCAGACCTGTCCATCCCTTAATATTTCAAGCCTCCTCCCTCAACCTAATGCTGACTATTCTCCCTCTCATCCCTACACTGAAACCTTGGAGGAACTGTTACCTCACCCTCCACACATACGAGAGGGCACATTTCCTCAGGCCACGTATACCTGGTACACAGATGGCAGCTCCTTTTTTTTTTTTTTTTTTTTTTTTTTTTTTGGTTTTTCGAGACAGGGTTTCTCTGTGTAGCTTTGCGCCTTTCCTGGAACTCACTTGGTAGCCCAGGCTGGCCTCGAACTCACAGAGATCCGCCTGGCTCCGCCTCCCGAGTGCTGGGATTAAAGGCGTGCGCCACCACCACCCGGCAGCAGCTTTTTACATTTAGGGACCTGTAAAGCGGTTTATGCCATAGTGTCAGATACTGAGATAGTAGAGGCACAGGCATTACCCACACACACCACTAACCAACAGGCTGAGCTGATAGCTCTCACCCGTGCCTTCTAATTGGCACAGGGGCAATCTCTAAATGTTTACACAGACTCTAAATATGTTTTTCATATCCTCCTCTCCCACGTTGCTATTTGGAGGGAGCGTGGCCTTCTCACAACAAAAGGGGGATCCATATCTAACTCAGGCCAAATAATGGCCATGCTGGAGGCTTACCACCTCCCCAAGGCTATAGGAATTATCCACTGCTGGTCTCATCAGACCGATAGCTCCATCATCTCCAAGGGAAATAACCGGGCTGACCAGGCAGCCAAGACAGCAGCCCTCCAGGGCCAAGTCTCACCTCACCCACTACAGGGAATCCATACAGTGCAGCTTACACCCTCACAGGGAACCCCTGACACTAGGCAAATTCTGTCCTGTCTACACCAGCTCTTTCACCCTAATAGTCTTGTTCTGCCTCAATTCATAAAAGCTCACCTGCAGCCCACCTCTGAGGACTTACAGTTCTTAAGAACTATAACTGCCTCTTGTGAGATTTGCCAAAGGACAGACCCTAATACCAGGTACAGTAGTCAGCCTTTTCCCACCCACCAGGCTAGAGGTTCCCTTCCAGGGACTGACTTGCAGTTCCATTTTACCCACATGCCCACTGTCAGGAGAATTAAACATCTCCTCATGATGGTGGACTCATTTCCAAATTGGGTGGAGGTGTACCCTGTTTCTAATAAGTGGGCTCAGACAGTTGCAGATCTTCTCTGAGAAATTATTCCTCAGTTTGGGATTCCTGCTTCCCTTTAGTCTGACAATGGTCTGGAGTTCACCTCCTAGGTTTCCCAGACACTAGCTAAGGCTCTTAACATTCCTTGGCATTTTCATATCCCATACCATCCTTAATCCTCAAGAAAGGTGGAGCACACCAACTAACTGGTCTTTAAAATCTATTCTTACTAAGATGTCACAGGAACTTGACCTCAACTGGGTAAGATTATTGCCTCTAGCTCTTTTCAGGCTGAGGGCCCTTCCCAAGAAGCCTCTTCCAATTTCCTCCATTTGAACTAATGTATGGAAGGCCAGTTCTAACACCAGGTCTTCTATCCAACCCTCCAACTGTTCCAGACAGCCTGTTAACTCCCCTGCTATGTCACCAAAGGTCTGTCCTGTGGAACTTCGCAGACCATTCCTTACCTCAGCCATGTGACAGTCCTTATCCACCCCCAATCCACATTGGGGATCAGGTTCTTCTTTCCCCTCCGGGCCAGTGCCCT